GCACGGCCGCCGCCGCGCAGGAGGGGCACGGGCGGTTCTCCTGGTTCTCCTGCCGGATTGGGGTGCGGGAGCTCGGTTGCTGGTGACTAAGCTCGTTTGAACTCGGGAGGCGCCCGCTGTCCCGCACAGTTGCGCTATCGGCATGATTTGCTCTCTGTGTAAATAGGCTCAGCTTGTTCCGTGTTAGCATTTTTCTGGCTTTTTTTTCCCCTACATTGCTTGGAGTCTCGTACCCTCTTTTGTGTTATTTTCCCCCCGTTCTGTTAAGCCGTTTCTTTCAGTCTTGTTTTTTGTTCGCTTCATCATTTAACGATCGTCATGGTGTACCGGATGTAGCTAAGTGATCACATGCACCGTGTTGTGGTGTGGCAGCCTGGAAAATATCCGTTCTCATAAACCTCAGATCAGAACAAGAAAGGGAGTAGGCACTGGGAATAGCTGTACGGAAGGAAGTTCAAGGGGAATAATGCAGAGATTAAAAAACAGAGCAGGTGGGCTTGGCCTACGAAGAAATATATTTTCCTATTGTTCATCTCTGTTTTGGTTGTCTAAATAAAGATAGATGTGTAATTCCAGTGAATTTTGGCCTGTCTTAAACACTAAAGTCAACAGTCATCTTGCACCACTCCTAGCAGACAGGGAAACTTTGTAAGACCAATCTTGCGGTGCTGGATTTCTGATGACATCTGTCAATAATGTCGCGTTTTTCTCTTGATTACGTATAAATGGTGTATTGGTGTGGGGGAATAGGGGAGGGAAGTTGTTACTGCTTGTGAGCTTTGATAAAAATTCGGTAACCATAAATTCTTTCAAATCAACCTGATGTCTTGCATGAAGAGATCTACTCACATGGGAAATAGAAGTAGGATAGTGATTCTGAAAGAAGGTTAGGTTCAGTCAGAAGGGAATTTATTTTACTGCAGATATGTAGTTTTCAAAGGAAATCCCAGAAATCCACAGATGCCTCTGAAAGGCGACTTGTACAAAACTGACGGGTGACTAAATAATAATTTCATTTATTTCTACATATTTTATTTAATTATTTTACTAACAAGTAAATAGTTCTGAGATGCTGTCTTATAGTGCAGAAGAAACTTGATTTATTTTCTCATCTTTCACTGTATTAAAGCTGTGACAGTTATCCTAAGAGTGAAATGCGTTCTGACTGGATGTATTACCTGTTTGTTAATTACTACCACTGAAGAGAATGTGTATAACTATAAAATATAGTATGCATAAGAGATGTGATAACTCTGGTATTACCACAGGGACTGAATTGCACGAAGCTGTTTTGTATTTTATACTTTGCCGAATGGCACGTCGCATCATTCTCATCATCATCAGTGTTATGTTTGTAAATAGTATGTAGGCAGAGTTTGGCTTTTAACTGTTTAAAGATTCTGTTACGTCCTTGGCTTACACAAAGTCACTCACACTTTACACTTTCTAAAATTTTTGCAGCTAACTTTTCTGAGCAAGTAGTTGAAAGCTTTCCATCTGATATCTCCACTGGTATATACTATGGATGGGCCTGTGTTGGAAATGGAGATGTGCATAAAATGGTTTTGAGCATAGGATGGAATCCTTTCTATAAGAATATTAAGAAATCAGTGGTAAGAATTTTGCTTTGTGTGGGATTTTTATTATAATAAGTGATCCAGATGTTGAATTTGAATAAGATAAGCAGAATTTGATCCATAAATGAGATCTAAAAATTCTGTTTGCTCTTAGAAATGTATTTGGTATCCATATCATATGTTTGTATTCTGAAAAGAAAATACTCTCAGTAGCCAGAGGGTATGCATCTGTAGGTGAATAAAGTTTATTTTCTTTGTCCTATTCCATCGTTACTTAAATACTTCCATAATAAAAATTTAACAGTATTGCTGAAATGGTGGTTGCTTATGGTGCTGATGGCTAACTAAACATAAGCTTGATAGATGCATTGAACTTACTGGTTATGAAAGCCCTAGCATGAGCTGGAACATACTAATCTATTGTTCTCTGCAATCTATCTACATTTTAAATAAGAGAAGTTGGGGCATCTTAATTTGTAATGATTTTCTATTAATTCTTTTAAATGATGGAATCCATACATGTGGTGCTGTGGCTTGATATACAGAACAAATATTCAAAGGTACATAATAATAGGATGGAGGAGTTGAGTTAAAATCCTGAGCTGTGGCAGCTGTGTTTTTCCTGCTGTTGGGTGCTGGTGCTTTCCTGAGTCTTGCAGAGCTCTGTTTTAATTGTTGAAAACACTTTTATTTGCGCATGAATCTCTGCTTCTAAGGTTCTAAGTGTTTGAAGACTCCGTGATGTGCTTGTCTTACGCAAATGTACACTTTTAAAAATTTTTGCAGATAACTTTCCTGAGCAAGTAGTCAAAAGCTTTCCATCTGATATCTCTGCTGGTATATGCTATGGGTGGGCCTATGTTGAAGAGGGAGGTGTGCAGAAAATGGTTTTGAGCGTAAGATGGAACCCTGTCTCAGCCTTCGCTCCTTGAATTTTATCATTCAGTTCCCATGTGAGCTGGTTGTAAAAGCTCTCCTTAAGCCAACTATTTCAACCAAAATCTTCATAGTTATTTGGACGCATCAGCTTAATGATGAAACATTAAGCTTTGTTTGTGATTTGCTGCCTTGGAAATCTTACCTCTGAGAAGTGGTGAAGCATTTCTCCTGAGTAATGGCTTTCTTTTCTTTTTTTTTTGGCTATCAGAATACTCTTAAGTGAGTAGTTTTTCTTAAATTCCATGCAGAGTACAATTCTCTTTCCTTACATAAGCAAAAGCCCTAGCCTTTTAATCTTGCATTATACATGCTAAACTAAATGTCCCGTTTATTGGTATGTGTTGGGGAGAATTTGAATTAGGGATATTAGCTGTACATCTGCAGTGAGGGAAATAAACTCAAAGTTCATCATAAATGCCAACTTGTTTCTCTTTCTTTAGGAAACGCACATTATCCACACCTTCAAAGAAGACTTTTATGGAGAAATTCTTAGTATAGTCATAACTGGATATATTCGACCAGAAAAAAACTTTGATTCCGTAGGTCAGTATTGCAGTTCTCCCTCAAACTAGTCTCTTATTTGTGTTATTCATGCAAGTACTGTGTCTTCACTGTCTCTCTTTCCATAGTGAGATGTTTTATCTGTTAACTTTTGACATTTCAGTAAAACGTTTTCATAAGCTAAACGTACAAGTTGGTCTAATTAAAAAAAAAAATTGGAAGATGTGTGGGTATATCTTTGTATCACACTAAAAAATTGTATTGTGTCACTTGTCCGAGGAGTAATTTTAAAATCATGGGCTTGTCATAAAAGCATCAGCCTAGTCTGTTAATTTCTTTTTAAAATGCAGCTCTGTTAGAATTGAAACAGTTCATGAAACTCTATTGATCTCTTCCTAAAATGTCTTTTGGAACAAGGAGAGGGTAGTGCTTATAACGGTGAAAAATGCAACTCTGGCATGCTAAAAAAAAAAAAAAGGGCATTCTAAAGCCAAAGAATTTTGCCTTTCAAACATTGTGATAATAGTTATATTCTACTTCTGTGACTGTTGTCTGGTATTCTGTGGTACACCTTATTTTCACTTGCTATTGTGTGTTCAGAATTAAAACCAACTTTTAAATGTCCCTATTCTTATCTTTTTCAGAGGCGCTCATTTCAGCAATTCAGGAAGACATTGAAGAAGCAAAAAGACAGCTAGATTTACCAGAACATCTTAAACTCAAAGAAGATAACTTCTTTCATCTGCCAGAAGGCAAAATAGTGAACAACCACTGAGCAAACCCATGCTGCTTTTTTTTTTTTCTTTTTTCCCTCCCCTGTCATGGAGCTTTTCTATTTGCACTGCTTTTATAGGTACTTTGTTATCGTGTGTCTGTTTAGGTAACTGAGGTTGGAACCGACCGCAGAAGATGATTTCAGTTTCCTTGTGTTAATTCATCATTAACCCAGTTATGCAAGAGGAGCAGAAGGCTGGTTTAGGCTCTTAGAGACAAATTGTGTATCCTAAAGTTGTTCAGAGATCTGAGCACATGTGGAACATGACCAAAGTTAATCATTACCTCTTCTGACCCTAAGGTATGGGTAGTTCATTTAAGTGAAGAATGTCTGTTTTTAACGTACAGAATGTTATTCCAACCTCTCTTCCCAGTTTTATGTTATTCTTACATCTGGATTTTAGCTAGTAACTTGGAAAATTTTGCTATTGATTGAGTCAGAAATTTCCTGTGGTGCAGGAAGCCAATGATTAGATAACAATAACAAGACTAATTCTCTATAGTTCTTATTTTCTATATATGCTATTCAGCTGTCATGGTTGAAGCTGTCATTTTAATTGAAATTATTTATTTTAACTTTCTTTGAAATGGAGGAAATCACTGTTACTCATTGAGTTACTGGAATCTGAGATATACTTTTTCATAGTTGACTGTACGTATGACAACACATGACCTGCATAGTTTACTTCTGAGGAAGTGTTTCACTGGAATTCAGGAAATGAATGACAGTGTGAAAGTTGATAAACTTTAAAGGTTCAGGCCCAAAAGATGCAGAAACAGTATATGAAAACTTCTGCTATTTGGGCCTTAAGGCAAAAGAGGTAATGAAAGGCAACTTTGCATTTTATCTACTGCTGGCATTTGTTGTAGGAAAATGGGGAGAACCTTGGGTTATTCACTACACTGGCAATAAAATGGCTGACTTCAAGATTGATGTTAGTGTAAGGCACAGGAAAATCTCATCAACTCTGCACCGAGTGCAGGTAAGAGCTGCGGTTTTGGCTGACCAAGTAGATCAATACACGAATGAAAGCCTTTGGGGATTTAAGGAATAGTATATTGACACTGTACTGGGTATTGGTTATTTATTACAAGTAATTGCAGCTATTCTTACTCTGAAATGAAGGGATAGGTAAATAGAGGGGGTATTGTCAAAATTGATAGTAATATGGAAAATACTTAAGTATGTAATGTGTGATTCCAAATCTACTCTTGATTCCAAATCTACTCTTTTTTTTTTTTTTTTTTCCTCTGATAAATTCTTCTATCCCCTTCTCAGTGAGTGGAACTAGGTAAGCTGCAGTGACTTTGTCATGTTCATTATCTTTTGACATTGGCTTGTGACGTGGCTGGAACAATTTTCTGAAATTGAAAATGGTTCTGTGGATATGTCTCAACTGTAGTTCTGTGTCTGAAGTACCATGTACTATTTGGAACGCACAATTTCTGTAGTGTAATTTTATGAATTTACTCCTCGTCCTATCCTATTTGAATCCTACTTTTCACTCTAGGGTTTAAGAGAGTTTTAACAAGGTAGCTGTTTGAGTCTGTGGCAGGTGCTGTCAGGATGTTAGTTCCACTTCATATTCTTTTAACTTTCAGGCAATATCATGGGATATTATTAGGAAAGAGGTCTTGAGCAAATCAAGGACTCATGTTTGCTCTGTAGGACTTGAGGAGAAGCTTGATTTCATTTAAATGAATTGTTCACCAGTGCTGCGGATAGCAGAGACAGACAGAATACAGAACTGGGGAGGGGGGCAGTTATCAGCAGTTAGACAGACTTTCTTTTAAAGGAGAACAAAATATTTTAGTGGACTTTCACTATATAAGGTGTTGGAAACTATTTCTAAAAAGTCTGTAGAAGAATTGTCTTGCAAGAGTGACAGGGGTTTTTTTACCTTTTAAAATGGAGGAATGAAGGGAGAATTTTTTTTTGCAAAGATTTGAGGCATTCTTGAGATTGTAATGTCAACATCTTATATTTTACTTCTTTTTTAAAGAATAAACAAAAGCCACACTAGTCAACCGAATATGCTGTCAAGAATATATTTAAAGAGTAGGTTGTTGTTCATCATGGTACTGTAGCTGAACACTCATAGCCTTCTTTAAAATTGTTTTTTGCCAGTAATTTCACATGTCTATTGTGAAAACCATGGTGCCTTAAGCTGGTTGTCTGAATAATACTTTTCTGTATCTGCTAATAAATGTTACTATCAAAAATTCAATTCACCATTCGGTTATAGAACTACTGTGCTATCGATAGAGAACAGTGGCAAAGGGAAGACTTGAAAAACTGTTAGTCTGCTCTCAAATCTTAGCTGAGGTGTGATGTATGGATACACTGAACTAATAAACTGCTCTTTGTGTGTTTGTCTTCAAATTAGAGAAAATGTTATTACATTCATTTGGCTGAGTGTACCTGTCCACATTATTTAAAAGAAAATGTTATATCAACTGTTTAAGCTCAATACATAATTCCTAGCACAGTATAAACTTTATGAAGGGTTATATTTTTGTATTATGTACAAATAACTATTTATTTCAGTTGATGTTGCTGCACTGTACCATTAATAAAGGAACTGTAACTGACAAAGTTATCCTTCTTGTCGTAGGTTTCCTTTCCTTTGCCATGCCTAGCAAAGTTAGTTGTCTCAGTCTTATGCAAAGCTTTGTGGGGGTGACTGCCTAAAAAACTAGACTGACAAAAAAGAGTAGGGAGATGTTGTTCAACCTTCCTAGTGTGTCTGAAAACTGGCCCCACTCTGGGGACTTTTGTGGTTTAGTCAGAACTTAGGGAGCCTTAGAATTCACAGCCTGAAACCTGTGAATCCATTTGTCTATACGCTTTTTTCCAAAACTTTTAAAAACTGCTTGTTTCTTTTAGCATTCAGATGGAAGGAGGTGCATTCTTGTCCTATGTTCTGCTTCAACTGTTAAACATTCATCTAGGTCAGGGCAAAGTTTTATCTGCTGCTGCTGAAGGATAGTCAAACTTGTATCTTAAAACACATTATTGTGGCGCTGGCCTCTTGGGAAAAAGTTCCTCTCATACTTACAAGCAGTTGCCAAGAGTGAATGTAGACCTTTATATATCCTCTTCCTAGCATCACTGAAGTTACATCAAGAAAAAATGTAACATATTGTGGTGGTATATGTGGTAAGGATTGCTTTTTTATGTTACCTGCAGTGGACTCTTCAGTGTAGGCTGGTATCTGTCAGGAGTCACGCTTTTAACAAGAGAGTACCCAGAATGGAGGTAAGGATTTAAGAGAGAGAAATCCTCAAGCACCTGTGTTGTTCAAGGCTGTTTTTTTAACACTCAGTGCTATGATTTCCAAGCATCTAGGTTTTCTACTAGTTTTCTTCTGGAATTAAAATGGAATTAAAAAATATCAGAACGCCTTCAGATGTCTTTTTGTCATGAATATGCTTTATAATTTACCTAAATATAGGTAAATTAGCATAAATATATGCTAAATTAAGCATAAAAGGTATAAGCTTTTTTCCAGACATACTTGTATTTTCTGAAGGGGGAAGAAAGGTGTAAAAAAAACCAGCCCAAAACAAACCAAAAACCCCACAAAAAAAACATAATAAGCGGAGGGCCGTACTTGCTATTGTGATAGTTGGAAACCTTATGTTATCTACTCTTCCAGAGGAACATTTGGGTAGATTTGTGGCCTCTTTTGGCTTTCAAATGGGCTGGAGCTTTAAAAATGTTACAGTGGCAGTTATTATCTAATTAACTGCATAACTGAAGGAGGTGATCTCTGTCTTGACCTGTAATGGTTGGGAACTAATTTTGGCTTCTTGTTTGTGGCTCAGAATAGCCAAGTGCTTAGTATCTTTTATGTGTTCTTAAGTTTGCGCTTGGTTTGCGTCTCCCACGGTGCTAAGATTCATAAGTGAAAGAGGAAGGCACAATTCAGTGCAATCAATTAGTACAGTAAGATACGTATTTAGCATTTTTGTTTCCTAATGATGAGAACCTAGGTGAGGGAATTAGTTTTTTGCATAAGGACCAGGGGAAAAAAAAGAAAATATGGAATTGAAGATGATAGGTGACAAGAAAGAGAAGAAAGGATACAGCAAAATAACTGGATGGGGATTTTGGTCATGGCACACACAGTGAACAAGGATGCAGGAACTCAGGAAAAAAACTGAGGAAGAACAGTTTAACATTAATGGTTGTTAGAAAAGTGTAGAACCTCAACTCCTAATGAAAAAGACCAGTCCTTATCTAGATACTGAATTGATAATATAAATTAGGAACTATAAAAGAATGTTTATTTACCTTTATCTTACACATCCAATTGCATGTTAAAAACCTGCAAAGTCATGCAAAGAAAAAATAAATGTGTCTCTTTTGTTGGTTAAGGAAGTCTGCGTCCTGCTTAAACCTATTCTGAAAAAGGACAGTGGGAAGAAGTTGTAATTTCTGCCTACTTTACAACGTTATACACTTTCCTAGGGAAAAATCTTCCGTTGTGTTCACAATTAATGAAATCTCAGGAGATGTCGTGGTTTAACCCCAGTTGGCAACTGAGCACCACGCAGCCGCTCGCTTACCCCCCCCCCCCAGTGGGATGGGGGAGAGAATCGGAAGGGTAAAAGTGAGAAAACTTGTGGGTTGAGATAAAAACAGTTTAATAGGTAGAGCAACAGTCACACACGCAAGCAAAGCAAAACAAAGGAATTAATTCACTCCTTCCCATCGGCAGGCAGATGTTCAGCCATCTCCAGGAAAGCAGGGCTCCCTCATGCGTAACGGTTACTTGGGAAGACAAACACCACCACTCCAAACGTCCCCCCCTTCCTTCTTCTTCCCCCAGGAGATTTGTTAAAATCAGTTTTTAGACATGTATTAGGCAACTCCCTAAATATTTCTGAGCAGTAGGAACCAACCAATAAAAGTAGGAACATATGGTACTTACTTGGAAAGAGGGCAGAAGTTACATGTGTGTGTGATGTCTACTATTAATTTTGGATCTTAATATCTGTAAATTTATCTAGTTCATTGCAAATATGTATGTCCAGCCAGAATCTTCAGTCATCTGTTCTTTGATTGCAGAAGTAATAGCTTATATAGCCATCTGTATGTTCTTGAAAAGGTAGTATTGCTATTATGATATTTTGTATTAAATTGATTCAGCACTTGAAATGAGCTTTTAAACCCTAATTCCTAATCCTAGCATCTCTGGTGTCACCATATACCTACTAAGTAGAAAAAAATGAGTCAGAGTGTAAAAAAACTTCTTAGTCTTTCTATTCAGAAGTCCTTTTGAACCCTCAGAACATCTGTGTTCCTCATCAGGTTGCATGTTTGGTTATTCTTTAAAATTCAGGCTTGAAACCACACTTGTGGTTTTTTAGGTTGAGGGTAGCTGAAAAATCTGTGGTTAACACAGCTCTGTTCTGCTGAAAGAAATGTACCTTTCCCTCCCTACCTCCCTTCCCCATATATATATGATGCAAATACATATTTCTCTTTAAATACCTGTCATTTGTCATGGGAAAACCAAATGTCTCAAAATCCATTTGAAATGCTTCTGTGGTAACTTACTGTGCTGGTTTTGGCTGGGATAGAGTTAATTTTCTTCATAGTAGCTGGTATGGGGCTGTGTGTTGGATTTGTGCTGGGAACAGCGTTGATAACACAGGGATGTTCTCGTTACTGCTGAGCAGTGCTGACACAGAGTCAAGGCCTTCTCTGCTTCTCACACCACCCCACCAGCGAGTAGGCTGGGGGTGCACAAGAAGCTGGGAGGGGACACAGCTGACCACAGGCATATTCCACACCATATGACGTCATGCTCAGCATATAAAGCTGGGGGAAGAAGAAGGAAGGGGAAACGTTTGGAGTGATGGCATTTGTCTTCCCAAGTAACCGTTACGCGTGATGGAGCCCTGCTTTCCTGGAGATGGCTGAACACCTGCCTGCCCATGGGAAGGAGTGAATGAATTCCTTGTTTTGCTTTGCTTGTGGGCATGCCTTTTGCTTTACCTATTTTACTGTCTTTATCTCAACACACGAGTTTTCTCCCTTTTACAAGTTTGACAAATTCATTATTATATTCAATACCAAACTCTTAAATTTAAGAGCTGTTGTAATAAAGAAAAACATAAATGTTGTCCAGGGATTTACTAGGGCACTGTTCTGAACTGCTCATTTGAAATGAGGAGCAGTCCAGAACTGTGCCTTAGT